CTTTCTTTCTTTCTTTCTTTCTTTCTTTCTTTCTTTCTTTCTTTCTTTCTTTTTTTTTTACATTTGGAAAGGATGTCCTGTAAGCACTGGATTTAAATTGCTTTAAAATGCAACCAGTTTTTGTCCAGTGGCAGCCTTGAAGAGTTATCTGGCCGGACTTTTGTCTGTTTGGTTTCCATGTAATACTTCTGTGATTTCCGATGACGTGGCTACTATTTGCCTCTAGCTGGGCCCTTTCAGATGTTAGAATTGGTGGTTTCCAAACATCGGTGCTTATCAGAGTCACCTGAGAGGTAATTCCAGAACCTTAGGTTGGTTGCTAGGGGATAGGGCTGTGGTTTTAGCACATTAGCCAATTTTTCCAGGTGATTCTGTTACCACCAAGTGTTTATTGCAGGCACCTGGAGACTTTACTAAAAACACAGTCATGGGCCCCTCCCAAGTTTCTGATTGGTCGGTCAGACAAGGAACAGAGAATTTGTATTTCTGACAAGTTTCCAGTTGCTGCTGATGTTTCTGTTCAAATGGTCACTCTTTGAAAACCAGTTGCCTCTAATAAAAGTCATCCAGGAGGACAGCTGGAAATAAAGAATGTCACTTTAGCCCTTCTTGTTTTGGGACCTGGGCAAATGCTGTGGAGGAGAAACTCGATTCCGACAGCTTTCATCTACTCAATCTCTTTCCTTCACCTCCCCAGCCCCTTAGCAACCATTTTCTTGCCAATTTCTAAAATGTCAGGATAATTATGATCCCTTACCAGTGAAGCTTTTAACTTGGGATTAAATTTTTGGGTAACTTTTAGCTGAATTAAAAGGACTGACTAATGTGAAAATAAAACAAAACTCTCGTCATTTTAAAGATCTGTGGGTGGATGGGTGAGGTGTCGACACCACGGGTACCTTGATCTTTCAACACTCACAACATCTCTTAACATGTGTCCCTGTTCTGAGTTAATTTAAGCAGACACGAGCAGCCTTCTAAAGCTAAGGCTAGTGACAGGGAATACTGATGAGAACAGACGTGTGACCAG